ATGTTGATAAGGGCCGGGAGAATCCCAGCAAAGGCTCAGCAGTACAGGCGGTGTGACTGGGGAGCGGTGCGTCCCAGGCTTGCAGGATTTCACACCCGCGCTCCTCACACCTCTGCCTTTTTAGAATCACAGTGGATTCCTGAGTTTCCAATACTTCCCCTCATTGCCGTCCTCATCATACATGTTGGTAAGGGCCGTGAGAATGCAAAGCAAGGCTGAACGTTGCAGGTGACGTGACTGGGGAGCAGGGCTTCCCAAGCATGCAGTGATTTCCTGAGTCGCCAGTTTGTGACCCCCCGAATTATCCCCTCAGTTATTTATGTGAGACCCCTACTGACAATGAGAAAAGCCTGCTGGAACTGTCAGGACATTGCGGAGTGAGGTTCCGGACGCAGAGGAGGGCATTGCTGCTACCTGTGGGGGCTCTGGGGTCTCGAGTCTCCAGGCTCCCCGTCGCTGGGCTTGTCTACCTCTGCCATAGAAAGAGCAAGGAGTCAGGGAAGACCAGCGCCGAGCAAAAGTCTATTGCAGGTTCTGCAAGAAGCGGTACAAAGACACCCCGGGAGAGGAGTGGGGACACTCAGAGCTGAGTCACCAACAAATCTGGGGTACAGTCCTGTTCTAGGTGGTGGGGGCCCATTTCAACCCCATTCAAGGGTCATGGTGAGATTAGATATTGGCCTTGTTGCTGGGGGGCTGGGGTTGGTGGGCTATAGAGGAATTTCCAGCAAGTACTTTAGCAGCTCGTTTTGGGGAGGTGCCCTTGTGAAGGGAGCTTAAAACAGCAGGCTGTAGCTACCAGACACGAATGTGAAACTGCAGGCTGTCAGGGTGGCTGTTTCCTGTGCCACAGAGGCCTTGTCTTTACTTCTTAAAGGGCCCAGTCCCTTATCTAACGCTACCTGCAGGTCTCAGCTGTCCCTATGTTAGGAGAGTTTTCACTGGAATAAGAAGGATAGTTCCCTGATTCCTCTAACCATCCTCAGGGAGTGTCCAGGTAGGCTGCTCAGTCCAGAGCTAATTAGAGATAACCAGAGCACAAGTTACTGCTCAGGCATTTAATCTGATCACAGGTGACTCTGTGTATTGCAAATGACCGTTTGAAACTCAGGTTTTAAACCAGTTTTTTTACTGTGCAAGATTAAAGGAAACAGATTTCGGGGAAAAAGTGGTTACTTTGTACTTGAAGTTCCTGGAAGCTGGGGAGCTTGGTAGGGAGTGGCTGCGTTCCCTGTTTCCTGAGGCAGCGTATTGTTGGTCTGGGTATTGTTGGTCCGCTATGTATATTTTCGTTGCTATTCTTATCAGTATGGCTTATTACACAACTCTGTCGCAGGCTGTTTTACATAGCCACATGCCTTTTTCATGAGATAGCTAAATATACTATTCTTTACAATCAGCCTTTTTAAATTATGCCCTCTAGAGAGTTTAGAATGCTGAGGAAAATGGTGGGGCTTTTAATGTATTACCAATGTGGAAAGAGGTACTCTTTCTGTTACAGGAAAAAATAAAATAACTCCATTTTATAAGAACCCTTATTTTTATAATACCTTTTTGTAAAGGGAACATGTGCTTGTTTCACAGTTGTTGGAAAGCTTGAAACCAAAGGGTACTTGGCTGTTTACCTGCCGTAAAACTTTGCAAGAAAGGGCTTTCCAGACCACAGAACTCCATCTGCCTGGCTACCCTGGCTACCCTGACGTCATTAAGGTAACCGGTCAGGTTACGTTGAAAGGCCGCGTTTCCGCCAGTGGAGTGATGACAGTGTGCATCAGGGGTAATTTATGGCCAGGTCACTTTGCTTTCTTGCCATTGCCTGGCTGAGCTCTCTTCTACAAAAGGAAATTTCACCTTGCTGAGAAATAGTGAAAGTTTATTTTCTTTTGTCCTGATTGGCACACCAGAGAATTCATGCCTGACACCAAGGGAGGGGAAAGGGTTCTTGCTAAGGACGACTTTCTGAAGGTGGTGGGTGTTAAAGCACACTGAGACACACGTTGACCTGGGGCGTCTGCATGGACAGGGACACGTGATACTGGCAGGGGAGGGAAGGTCATCCCTGGAATCACTGCTATTGTCCTTGCACACACTGAAATGTTGATTGAGATGGACTCTATAAAACAAGCACCGAAGCAGAGGTAACTCCCCAGAGGGAGGATCTACAGGCATGAGAACTAACAGGAGTAACAGGAATTTTTTAACTGTGAGGAGCAAAGGGGATAAAAATGAAATGGGCAAGCAGGGCTTGTGGGAGGGAGGTGAAAGCAGCAACTACAACAATGACCTCCTTCCCCTGAGGTCAGTTTGTTATTATTGTGACAGTAATTGAAGGATTGTGAGCTGCCTTGGCCTGAGAGAGGGTCAGAGGTCACAGGCCTAAGGAGAGGAGACCTAGTGACAGATGCTGTGAAGATGTCTTCTGTTGTTGGGGACCACTACAAACTGGCTCTGAGCAGGATTTAATATTAATCAGTTGGGTTTCCGTGTTTACTTGTGAGTTGTCGGAAGCTTAGGCACCTTGTCTGACAAGGTAAGGCCACAGCTGAAGACTTTTGGCTCCAACCCCAATTACTACAAGGAGACTGCAGCTGCATGCCCCACACTCCTGCAATAAATACAAGCCTAAAGATAAGGTAGTTCTCCTGATTGACATAATTTACTACTTGGGAAAATGCTCCCAAGGTCCTGCGACATTCCCGCATTTTCTTGAGTATCCTCTCCCTTTGTTTGAAAACCAAATAAATACGGGCCGCCCAGAACAGTCTTTGGCTAACTCAGAGAATACTGAAGCTGGAAGAGAGTTAGTCCCTCCTGGGGCCCTGAAATCATTTCCATTGTCTCTTTTATTTAAGCCTTCACCGTCCACTCGCTTGGGAGATTGGGCCTGATCAGCCAGCAGTAACTTAGGGTTATTTAACCCGATTTTCGATATTTTCTGTTATTACTGATTGGTTCCCCTAATCATGTGTGAGGCACAGTTGGAAATTAGGAAACAGGTCTTGTAGAATTAATAATAGGGTGGGCATCATCTCTGAGGTACAATGGGAAGGGCTTTCTCTTGGATGCAAGATTTCAAGGTGTGTTTGGTGTTTTTTGTTGTTTGAGGACTGAATGCGGAATTTGCCTCTGAGCTACGTAGTCCCCATTTCTGCTTCTAAGTTTCCTGACCTGGTCTTACTGAGTTGTCTAGGCTGGGGACGGATGGGGCTTTTGATGCTGCTAAGACAGGCAGGTGATACTTTGCTAGTTCAGGGTTGCGGTTCTCTGATCATGCTGATTTACCAAGATTTCAGTGCCTGGAGAGCGGAAACGTCAATGTAACCTGGTGGTGCACACCTTTAATCATAGCTGCTTGGGAGACTGAGACGGGAATATAGCAACACCAAGCCCAGCCTGGACAGTTGAGGAAGACTGTTTCAGTATAGAGTAAATATTTTGGGACCACCAGTCTAACATGCCTCAGCACCTGAGTTAAATCTTTAGTACTGAAGAAAAACAAAATTATTTAGTGGAAAACTTTCAGTTTTGTGATTTATTCACTTGTCTCACTAGTGATACGTGGTACAGCACCTGCTCATGGTGGGACGGCAGTCATGAGTCACTGCTCGGTCACCAGCTGGACGCCCAGGGTGCACAGCCAGTGATCACAGTGCCCTGTTCTCCATAATGTTCATGAGCTACTTGTTACTGTACTATGAATTTATTTATGTTACATAGACTTTCCCAAATACAGATCAAGAAATGTCTTTAATACCTTAAAACAAGGCTTGATAATGATGTTTGATTAATCAGGTATATTCCTGTGCATTTTCTTTTTGTTTTCCTTTGTCCTTTTTTTTTTTTTTTTTGTTATTTTTGAGACAGATTTCACTATGCAGTTCAGTCTGGCCTTGTAGTCACTTTGTAGCCCAGGCTGGCCGACAACTCACAGCAGTTATCCTGCTTCAGACTCCCGAGTGCTGGCATTAGGTGTGCACCACCATGCCTAGCTT